TGGCCATATTTTCGGCAGCATAGTAAAGAGTACCCGCATGCATAGAAGAGATAATTGGCAGTTTTTAATAAGTGATTACAGTGAAAAGTAATTTTTCGTGTTAGCAAACAAAGCTTCTTTTCTTAATATTGCTATATAGTTTTGTTATATTGTCTGGGATCAGACTAAAAACCTCCTTTCGATGTTGAGAGGAGGTGTTGCTGGCAAATGGAAGGGACAATGAATTATTCAAGACTACTTGTAATATTTATTGTTGTTCCTTTTATTACATATAATAATATAATAAATAATTAATAATTATGAAGTATACAAATAATGGTATGATAGATTAAATATATAAAGTTTCCTTTATATTGTTACGTGTTGATGAATGTATTTCCTTTTTGTTGTATAATGAGTAAAAGCTATCTTAGCATACATTAAATTGTTTATGTTTGTGCTATACTTTGGTGCCGCGCCTATGATACGTCGGTCTTATCTGTGATATGTTTCAATAGTAGTATACTTGATGCCGCGCCTATGATACGTCGGTCTTATCTGTGATATGTTTCAATAGTAGTATACTTGATGCCGCGCCTATGATACGTCGGTCTTATCTGTGATATGTTTCAATAGTAGTATACTTGATGCCGCGCCTATGATACGTCGGTCTTATCTGTGATATGTTTCAATAGTAGTATACTTGATGCCGCGCCTATGATACGTCGGTCTTATCTGTGATATGTTTCAATAGTAGTATACTTGATGCCGCGCCTATGATACGTCGGTCTTATCTGTGATATGTTTCAATAGTAGTATACTTGATGCCGCGCCTATGATACGTCGGTCTTATCTGTGATATGTTTCAATAGTAGTATACTTGATGCCGCGCCTATGATACGTCGGTCTTATCTGTGATATGTTTCAATAGTAGTATACTTGATGCCGCGCCTATGATACGTCGGTCTTATCTGTGATATGTTTCAATAGTAGTATACTTGATGCCGCGCCTATGATACGTCGGTCTTATCTGTGATATGTTTCAATAGTAGTATACTTGATGCCGCGCCTATGATACGTCGGTCTTATCTGTGATATGTTTCAATAGTAGTATACTTGATGCCGCGCCTATGATACGTCGGTCTTATCTGTGATATGTTTCAATAGTAGTATACTTGATGCCGCGCCTATGATACGTCGGTCTTATCTGTGATATGTTTCAATAGTAGTATACTTGATGCCGCGCCTATGATACGTCGGTCTTATCTGTGATATGTTTCAATAGTAGTATACTTGATGCCGCGCCTATGATACGTCGGTCTTATCTGTGAGATGCTTCGATAGTAGTATGCTTGATGCCGCGCTTATGATACATCGGTCTTATATGTAATATGTTTCAATAGTAGTATGCTTGATGCCGCGTCTATGATACGTGAGTCTTATCTATAAGTTGCTTTAATATGATTTTTATGTTTTCACTGTCGTTTAATCTTAGCACTAATACGTTATTAATTTAATTTTAGTTTAATGAATTTTAGAATATAATGTCACTTATTGCTAATGTCACATCATTACTTAATTGATTATTACGTATGTATACCGTTAAACTGTGGTGACTGTAGAGAAAGCTTGATGATGTATAGTGCGTTTGTTATAATGATTATGTAATTATTACTAGACTGAGGCAAACTGAACTGATGCACGTGAAGCGCAGCCCTTAAATATTATTGCACTATTCCTTAAACGCCGGTGCTTGTTGCCATGACGATATTGGTTGTGACGTTAACAGAACAAGCCTGGAAAGTTCTTTGCTGGTGTTTTGTTTAAATAACTGAATTGCGCGTTCATACCTCTCCCACTTTCGACTTTCAACTTTTTAATCGGAAGATATTGCAGGACGTTCGAGTCTAAAGCTTTAGAAATTTGGAGCACTCTGGGATAGCAAAACTTTAGATGGTTGGAGAATTTCAACCGACGTTGCTATGCGCAGACTAGATAAACATTGTAGGACGCATGAAGGTAAAGCTTTCGAATATTCGAAAATTCTTGGAATCAAATGTTTACAAAATTCGAGAGCTAGAAGGCTTATACAAATCCGAGAGCCTAAGTTCATGGAAAATGCTCCAATTACGAACAAATACTATTATTCAAAATTACAAATAAATAATTTTAGTAGTCATAACACAGGAGAAATATATGGTAATAAGAAGAGCATCTTTTTCAATAAATATACACTAACATATATATATATATATATATATATATATATATATATATATATTCAGAGAGATATTATAATGTTATATTATAATCTAACGGTCGTTGGACTACTAAAGAATCTAACCACTTCAAGAACAATAATCCCTAAATAGGAAAGTAAATGGAATAAACAGCAATAAAAAATATATGTATTAATTATTTAATCGGTGCATTAACCCTTCCACTTGCCCGCGCATTCTTCCACACAACATCCAGTGGTTTATCTTAGTTAATTCTAATCAAATATACAAAAACATTTAATAAAAAATGAAATAGTTGTAATATAGAAAGTTCCTTGGATAGTCATCAAAAAACTCTATCCATGCAGTGGATTCCGAGAGGATGTAAATAATAAATATAAAGTAGAAAGCAAGGAAGCGATTGTGACTCAGTATATAAGGCAGAATAATTAAAAAGATAGTTTTTTGTGTATATATTTAGGATTATTAGTACAAAAGAAAGCCGTTAATTATTTATTTATAAATATTTATTTTTACTACTTTTTACTTTAAGCTTAAGAGAGAAATGAGGTAATATTTCTTGCGAATGTCAGACATCTGGGGAAAATCCAATTTGTTGGACATCTTGGGAAAAGTCCAACGGTCGTTGGATTTCTAAAAGAATCTAAAGTGCACAGTCGCAACATTGCTTCTTGCTCCACAATCGCCTCCATTGTTGTCAGTTCTGACTACGCTATCGCATGGATATTTTAGGCAAGCACACTTAATGAAAAGCGTTTTCTTACTGGGGACGCCGTGAAAGAAAGAGGCTCTTATTTACTGGAGACACCATAGCGAACAAGCTCTATCTAAGTAAGGCCACGATAGAAGGAAGACGCGTCAATTCTCCTGTGCTGCAAATAAAAGGTGTTGACACTATCTCCTTCGTATCATGAAAACGCTAGACTACACAACACATACTCCTTAATAAGGAGTATGCATAATCATTGCTTATCCTTACAAAATGAGCAATAACAATTCATCGCCATCAATAAGGAGCATTCGTGATGGTGAACTACTTATCACAGGATCAGATCAAGGTGAGTAAACAAAGTCTGTGCATGCTTAATTGCTAATCCTTACAAAATTAGCAAGCTATTATTACATAACATAAGACACACTCCCTAACACGGAGTATGCATAATTAGTTGCTGATCTTTACGAGATCAACAACAACAAATCATCATCATCAAGAAGCATCTCGTGCTGATAAACTATTCACCACAGAATCAGTTCAAAGCAACTGCATCGTTGTGATTGAATATAGTATACACCCTTCTATCACATAAACCGAACACATCAATAGTGTAATTGTAAATGAATCATGACAAAACATTTAAAAAAGAAGCGCACATGCATTATTTCTCTAGTTCTTCCCAAACATCCGCTAGGGCGAGTGGCAAATAATTATAAAGCTATCGAACACGATAGTACTAATGAAAAAATTAATTTATAATTAATATTAAATTAAAATAATAATAGTAATAAAAGTGATATGAATATTAATACAAACCGACCATAAACCAAAGGTGTTCGATAACAGTCATACTTCCAATAAAAACTTCATCTTGGTACACATAACCACTACGTTGCCTCATATAACTGGAATCAATGAGACATCCATCAACTCTAATATCTCCTTGTACTGATAAAGTAACTAAAAAATAATACATAAAATTTAATATAAATTTTAAAAAGTAATAATATAGAAGATTATAGAAATTGGTGAATTATAATATTTAAAAAATATTATCAGTGATATTTAATACATCATATACAGAAATGTTTTGACGTTTTACGTTAAAATATCGATTAATCAATTAATAAATATTTCTCATCAAACATGTTTTGTTTTTTATTGAACGATCTTACACAGCAACGCATTACGAACGTCACTCACTACTATAGGTATAAGAGCGGTCCTCACGCTCACGTAAGTACCGCACACTATCGACATTGTGTTACACCGATACGAGTGAATCTCCCACTCATTCAAGCAGTGACGTAACACGGACATCCTCCCAGCACTCCGACCACTATAGCGCTTACCCTACGTCGGCGGCTAAGGTGGCACGAACTCGCTGCCCCTAACAGCACGAGTCTCCCACTACAGCTACTCAACGCATAAGGAGAAAGAAAGGGAATCACGCTCCAGGCTACTACGAATACACTTACAGACTTATCGCCACTAACATTAATTGAAGAACCACTCATCTATTTATTCTCTCACACATTCATTCCGACATTTATGATCATTGACTATTTATTACATTTATTATATTTAATAAAAGGAAAGACAATAAACATTAAAGGCTGTATTGAATAATTGCATTGCCCCTTCCACTTGCCAGCAAGCCTCCATCCACCATCAAAAGGAGGTTTTAAGTCTGATCTCAGACATTTTGGTCCTTCGAGCCGGATAAGTGGAAATCAGTGCATACGTCCAATACTACCACTCAAAGGGAAAAAACCATAGTTGTAACAATACAGGGCAGCAGATCATTGATTACAATAAAGAGAGTTTCTTCACCATTGTAAGTACGCTATTACTGCTCTTATCATAGCAACATGTCCACCCAAGACAAGAAGGAAATCAAGGAATCAGTAAGCGCAACCACGCGTAGCTCAACAAAGAAAAAATTAACGAGTGAACAATTAATGACGGCCCAAACACAATGGGCCCGAATCACTACTATACGGGCACTAACTGATAACCTCAATGCAGAAAGAGCAACCATCAGCCTACCTGAAACATTAGCCATAAAAGACAAGATCGATGAAACACACAACACCGTCATAACCGATCACAAGTTCATAGTGACCAGCTGGCCACAATCAGGCATTGCACACGAGTACTTTACAAAAAATGGCGTAGTAGAAGAAGCCATCTGCCATGCCAAGGCCACAGCGGTGATCATGAAGTTGTGTCATGAATTGGGCGACACGACACAACCAATTAAAACCTCACTAAAGAGAATAAGCAATAGTTTCAGCACATGGAGCACAAACTCCAATATGGATGAGATACCATCTATGGAAGACACCATGAATGAAACACATAAGACATTCGCAATGTGTACAAAATGTAAGTCGCCGTTTCGACTTGTTTTATCAAGGCCGGTTCGACGGATACAATTTGATACCGTTAACAACTCAGAGACCACGAGTGTTGTGTGGTAGCGATGAAAGGTCACAAGTGAAAGGGATATTATAATAATACAATATAAATATGGCTGAAGTATTTACTTTTTATTCTGTTATTTAAGATAAGATAAGGTTGACTATTAGTACTATTATTAATTGTAGACCAACTCTTGGGTTGAATTAATGCGTTTGCGGAGGCAAACATATAGTAATCTATGCAGCTTGATTGTTGAATATGAATGTCGAAAGGCGCGAAGTTTTCGTTCGTCGACACTAGTGCTATTTGAATGAACATGTGTGTGGTCGAGATTATGAATGCAGCATAATGACTGAATGTTACCGCAGAGTGGCACGAAACTTGATTCGTCGACACTCGCGCTAATTGGTGTTTAATTTCATAAGCATCCGAGCTAGAACTAAGGTGAAGGTTGCCGAAAGAGACGCCCCTTTTTTGGGCGCGAACTTGACGACGCGTATTGGAATCTATTCCGCACTGTCGTTCTAGGAGGAGCTTCTTCGCCCTTAGTTGCTTGTCGATGTAATAATCTGAATCTCAAATATATGTAATTATTGTAGTAATAATAATACTACTTACGAAGACTAATCGTTGACTCGTCTCCAGACTCTAATATGCGGATTGTCGTCACTCCCATTGAACATGTAACGACGGTTTCTTGAACTGCGTTAGTGGACATACGGGTTTATGTCGTCGTTCTTCTAGGGCAGCGCTTCTTGTGGCTTCAGAGCACATTAAGGGCCTAGTCGTCTCTTGGTCTTCATGACAAGAAGACCTCTCGTTGCTGCTGCCGCATACGACAGCTTGAGGGCAGCGGAAAGGGGGGGATCCGTTGACGCATCTGGTGACAGCATTACAACTTGGAGACAGCGGGAAGGGGATGGAAGGTCCGCTTGCAATAATGCTTGAAGTGGTTACCGAGCGGAACGAAAATGCAGATGTCTAACTATAGATTTTTCCCGTGTTTATTGTATTGTTTTTCCATATGTTTTAGGACACTAGTGCTTGATAATTGCGAGCAAAAAAGTTTTGAAATCTAAATACAAATTTTACGATGTTACTTGCCAGATGTTTTATTGCATTGAAAGTAGGTCTCGCAATCTCGAACAGATTTATTAAAATTGTTTTAAAAATTGTATTGTAATTTATTTCACTGAATGACTATTCAGTTTTTTTAAAGAGATATTACATAGGAAATTATTGAATAATTATAAAATATGAAAGTATAAACTACATAAAGTATAAATTATAAAGTATAAACTATACATATGTAAGAAAATGATCATCTAATAACACGATTTCTTGGATTAGTAAACTATTAGATTTGTTGTGATATTAATTCTTGATTAAATATAGATACATTTTTTTAAATAAATCTTTGCCTTATTTTGTGGTAAATTTGAAGATAAAAAAAGTCATATAATTTCATCAAATATAACCATATATTTAAAAATATAGCTATATTCGATTAATAAGGGTTTGTTTTATGGCTCGCACTGCCAATTTAATAGTTCAGTGGATTAGTCTCTCGTCATGATGACTGATAAAGAAATAAGAAGTGGAAGGGCTTCAATTAAGTACATTATATTATTATTGTATTAATATATCTTTTATTCTTGTTGTTAATTATTATAATATTGTAGCTTTTATTGCTTCGGGTGAGAGAAGGGAAATTTTCGGAATTTCTATGAGGAAGGAATTCTATTGCTTTGTGAGGTTATTTTTTCATGGTGGTGGTAATTTCGTTAATGCTATGGAGATTAATGTGGATCTTGAATGTCGGTTCTATGCTGATGTTGTAAGGATCAGCCTGTGTAGTCGATCATGCTCATTCATGAGCATGAGAAGATAGTGGTTGCAATCAAGTATGCTTGGTAGAAAGTATGATCATACTTAGTAGAGTGTAAAAAAGTCTCGATGCAAATTGGTACGTAATCAATTATGTCCCTAGTGACGATGGGAGTAGTTGAAACCTAGTCACACGCAAGAATCATAAATGGCAATCCTTCGAGCTCTGAAGGACTTGATGAAAAGCTAGTTACGCCTATATAGTAAGGCCATTATATTTAAACCAGTTTTACTATCAAATGCGGAATAATTTAAAGAATTCAAGAATGCTGATTGCATTGCAAGAACGAATACGACTATAAGAAGGGCAATATCCAGGCACTCATTACAGGATCCAGCAAGGTAACTGAATCGCTGTTCGTAAAAGCACCAAGCTGCGAAGGGCATCTCTCTAATTGTGCGATAAGCAGCAAGCCGCGAAGGACACCTCTCTAATACGTTACCATCAAGTGGCATTACACGAAGAGGTACCAGAAATTTAGGACCTCTTACTTTCAGTGTAATAATTTACTACCAAGCATACTATATCAAGAGCATCTGGAGATGTACGAACTCTTACCTCCATATGTAGTGCATACTAAAGCCACGTGGCAACTACTACCGAACTATAAGATCTCACCGATTCTCAACACCATCTTAGATTCATCATTATTGCGTAGTTTGTAAAATAAAAGGCAAGAAACAGCACGATTAGCAAATGTATATAATTCTTGAATAAATACGCTATCTCTTCCACTTGCCCGCACTTCTTTTCCCCACCGGTGATCATAGTCTAATCCAACTATCTCGGACTTCAGACTATTGGATGGCTAGAATTCTAAACGACACTATTGTTATATTGGAAATATATGATGGAAGAGTGTATACTACATTTAATCACGTTGATACCGTTATTTCAGATTGATCCTAGAGTGAAAAAGTTATTTTCAGAGATGCTCCTTTATGATGACGATGTTGTTGATTTTATAAGAATAAATAACTGAGTAGCACAGACTTTGTTTACTCACAGTGATGCAGTAGCCTTGACATAATCCAGTAATGAATAGTTCGCCATCACAAATGCTCCTTGTTCATGGTGATGACTTGTTTCCGATTTTACAAGGATCGGCAATTATTATGTACGCTCGAAATGCGGGAGTGTATCTCGGATAGTTTGGCCCTTTCGTGGTATGAAAGAAATAGCGTCAACACCTTTCAATAACAGCACAGGAGAATTGGTGCGTCTTCCTTCTATCTGTGGTTTACTTCAGACTTCATCACTACTTCTTCCTTGGCTAGAGCCTCCTTCTCCTTTGGCTTCTCCACGTGAACAGCAACCCTGTTTGTATCGTCCCCCTTTTAAGACCTCTGACCCTGATTTCCCACTTAAAGAACGCCTATGTGCTAGCATCCTCAATCAAAGCGCTCCGTGGTCCCAAGCGTCTAAATCAGAGTGCGCCCCTTTTGGTGGCGCGACCAAGCGAGGACGCCTGTGTCTTTTGTCTTCAGAAAGACTTTGACTTCGATAGTGGCTACATCAGCAAGAGCGCCTCTATCAGTGAGAGTAGTCTTCTCGTGGCTTTCAAGCGTATCGAAATCCTAGAATTACTGTAGAGTATCGCTGCTACGATAAAGCGTCTACAGAGATTAGTAATCAGATCGCTAACGAGAGTGCCTATTGGCCAGTGCAAAAAGACCAGTCTCTCCTTGCACACCCGGTTAACGCCCTGCAATTTTTTCTGTCCACTGTCAGGATCACGACGAGCTCAACAATTCTCACAACGACCGGTAAAAACAACTATCAATTGTAACATAACCTTAAATAGAACTTAAATTAACTTAAATAATCACTAAAACCAATTGTGCTTATACTGAATTGATGCATTAACCTCTTACTCACCCCCCTTCCGCCATTAAACCGATGATACGGTCTAATTCAACAATCTTGGTCTGCTGACCATCTGGGAGGCTGGAATTCAAAACATTTTGCTTCCTAACTACTTAATAAAACTATTAAATAAAAAAATGTACAATTATAACAAAAGAAATAAAAAAACTGTTTTCGAAAATTATAGTGATGTAATTATTGGCTCGAACTGCCAATGCTTCAATAGCTTAATTTGCCGCCCGCCCTAGCAGACGCGGAAGGGCAGTACAAGAGTCATGAGAGTTGTCTATTTATGCTTTTATTATACAATTTATTACACTATTTACATATGGATGTTATAAAATCTTCTTAAATCTAATGTGAAGATGCGATTTCTTGAACGGCTTCTTGAAATCGTTTAACTGATGTTGAATTGAAAATTGCACAGGTAAATAATTGCTGCACACTTCTTGTCAGAGTGTGAGATAATGTTAATGATTGTGTTGTGCCGGTTTTGTCGCCGGCTGGCAATAATCGATGAAGTTTCGCGGATAGTGTACTCACAGTGATGCAGTATCTTAATCTGATCCTGGGTTGAGTGATTTTCCACAAAGCACGCGGCAAACACGAATGTGCGTGGTTGTCCACCTCTCTTGTTTGTGAAGTGATAACATCAAATTGACCACAAAAAACACGCGGCAAACACTAACGTGCGTGGTCGGTTTTCTGGTTTTAGTTTTCCAATAAGGGCGCGCTGCTTTTCGACCGCATGATGAATGTGCACGCCCTTTTCCCACTTCATAAGAAATTAGGCTTAGACAATGAGAATATCGAAGGAGTATCTCTGACGGCAATGCGTGAAGTGGAAGATTTTCCCCTCTCCGGGACTTATCGTG